TCAGGTTTATGCCTCAGCGCCTGCTTGGACTCTTGCAGTAGCCTCCTGGCCAAGCGCCGCTCCTCCAGCACCTCTGTGTGTGCTATGAACACACCCGCGCCAGGCACTGGAGGGGAACAGGGGACGAAGGCCAACGCTTGCTTCAGAAAACATGTGATGCCTGAGGGCGCTGTCACCTTGACTCACGATTGTTTCTAGGTGCCAGAAGAACAGTTCAAATACCAGGCGTATTTGAAGGTGGCCAAGGCAGAGTTCGCTGCAGGCCTGCCGAACACCTCTGTGGAAGAATTTGAGCATGAACTGATCTGCAGAAAATTGGGGGTGCTACAGGTGGGTGAGAGGAGGGGGGGGGGAAGTGAGGAAAGGCCCAGGAGTGGAGATTCTCGTGGAGATTCTCGTGGAGTCAGTTTACAACATCGTGTGAACAGACTGAGCCTTAGAGTTGGAAACAGACGATTTTAAATATCAATCCAAACAGAAGCGGGAGCGCCACTACCCAGGATGCTTTGCAACAAACCCTGCTTTTAGGTAGAAAGTTATTTCCCACATTTTACTGTGCGTCAGAGCCCCACCCTCTCGCGGCACCCCCAGCCCCCACCAGGAGCTTGTTAAAAATAGACCTTAAAATAAAAATTTCCCTGCATTCCTCAGGACCCGCTCTTGAAGATCCTGGTTCAGCAGATCTGGGATGGGATCCAGAAGCCCAGTTCCTGTATGAGCTTCCCCGGAGACTGCTGAAGCTGGTCCAAGAATCACTGGGATAGGTCATTCCTACCAAGCAACGGCCCTGATCCATATCAAGAGTTGAATTTTCAGACATCACATTTCTGCAGACTAGCCCTCTCTTCTGATGGCTCTGTCTCTGTTGCAGATTCCACCTTAGCGGCCCTGAAGTTCCTTTTACGCATAAACTACCCACCCGGTTGGCTATTGCCCCTTCCTGCGTACCTTTAACAGCTCTCTCAGCTGTTCCGCCCTCTCCGTCCCTCCTGCTCCTGCTCCATCTGGTCAATCTGGCCCGGCCTCCTGCTTGGACTTTTGCAGCAGCCACCAGTCTAGTTGCCTGTTCCTTTCCACCCTTCTGGCTCCCCACCGCAGGAAAGTCTCCCCATCAGCACCGAAACTGTTTACGACTGTGCCACTCAGTCTATTTCCCTGCTCGGCTCCAAATCCTGACCAAACTGAACCACATCCCTTCCGAACAGGCTTTGGCCCTTCCTGCCCCAACTTCCCCTGAGGCTGTTCCCCGGCTCACACCTCTGCTCACGCCCCCTGGTCTGCAATGTTGTCTGCCTGTTAAAACCCTGCCCAGATTAAGACTATAACTACTGTGTGGTCCAGCAACTCCACTTCTGCATATTTATCCAAAGAACACAAAAACACTAATTCAGAGAGTCCTGTGAGCCCACCTGTTTATAACAGCATTATTTTCAATGATTTAGCCAAGACGTGGAAACAACCCAAGAGCCTACTGATGGATGAGGGGGTGAGATGTGGCGTGTATACGCACGCACACGCAACGGAATACGACTCAGCTCTGAAACAAACAAAGGTGAAATCCTGCCATTTGCAACAACATGGATGGGTGTTGGAGGAATGATGCTAAGTAAAATAAGTCAGAGGGAGAAAGGCAAATACCCTGTGATATCACACACCTGTGGAAAAGAAAGAAACAAAGCAAATGAACAAACCACCCACAAGTTTACTCTTAGATTCTGAGAACAGAAAGGTGATTACTGCGGGGGAGGTGGTGAGGGGTGAGGCAGACAAAGGATGGCAACTAGACTTTGGGGGTGATCATAATGGAGCACATACAGATGACAAAGTATAAAGCTATTCACCTGGACTTTATAAAATTGGCAAAATTACAAGTCAGTTACCTCAATAAATAAAAGAATGAATGATTTTTGAAATATTTGAGAAAAAAATTACCCATCCTTCAAGATCCACCTCAAATTTCATCTACTTTATAAAGTTTGTTCTGCTCAAAAAGAGATTATATATGCACATGCTTCTACATATATATGCACACACGTGCATGTGTAACACACATGGACACACACCCTTTCCTGTCAGGCCTGGGGCACAAGGTGAGGGAGCCATGGGGGCTGCCCAGAGGTGCACCCAGGACAAAGCGCCAGTGGCAGCAGGAGGACAGCTCACAGCCGTAGCCCGGCTGGCAGGGGGTGCCCACCCTTGTTCTCTCCAGTAACTCTGCCGATGGCCCTACCAAGTGCAAAGTTCGCCTACTACCACAGTTCTGACCTCAGCCACCTCCGGGGGCCTTGGGTTTCAACTCTGCCTTGGACATAAGAACCAACCCTAGGGGCCTCCCTGGTGGTGGAGGAGTTGTTTCTCGGTGCTATCAAGTTATTGCCAGCCACTGCAGCACGCATTTGATCCCCACGCAGGGAGCTGACCCACATGGCACAGCAGACCTCTCCTGACTCGCCCCCTGCTCCCCTCAGCAGTGTGTTTCAGTCAATCCGCCTGTTCTGCTCCCCACTCTGTCTCTGGTGAATCCTCTCACCCCCTGCACCTCTGGCCTACACCCCAGTTCTTGCATGCATAAATAAAAGAACCAACCCTAGCAGAGCCTCCCTTGTGAATTCCCGGGGGGAACATGCAGGTGGTCATGTCAACCCTACACCCTCCCCAGCAACTAAGGCCTCCCATGGAGAAAGCACTGGAACCTGGCCACATCCCTGTGGAAACCCGTTTCCTGGAGCAGAAGCAGCCCCGTCTCAAAGTCACCCAGGAGCAGCTCTTCCAGAAAACGTCAAAACAACTTGACCAACCCACCGCGCCGTGAGAATAACAGCGGCGATCAGCAGGGTGAGCAGCGAAGGGGCCGCCGTGCAGCGGACCTGCGGGTCTTCACTGGCGCCCAGCGAGTGTCCAACCAGTTGGTGGCGAAAGGAAGGGGGAGACCCGGGAAAGCTCACAGAGGAGGCGCGTGCAGACTCCTCGCCTGGGTGCCAGGAGAGCCCTCGGAGTGGTGGGCCAGCCCAGGAGCCTGGGTCACTCCACGGTGGAGCCTTCCGGTCACGGGCTCCCCTTGCTCCCCAACACCCCAAGGCACACCCCCAAGCAGAAGCGGCGCGGGTCAGCGCCGGCGGGGGCGTTCCACTTAATCGAGGCTTTACCAAGAAGCCAACGAGAGGCCAGCGCCGCCCGCCTCCCTCACGCCAGCTCTGGGGCTTGCGCTTTTGTCAAGCTTTTGTTTTTCTTAGCAGTGCTCCCCCAAATCCACAAAGCTGGGTTCACCACTGGCACAGGGAGGTGTCATCTGGGAGGGGAAGGACTCATGTGGAAGAAGAACTGGAAGGAAAACAAAAGACAGCACAAAACTGGACCCGGGCAGCTCCAGGAACCGTCTCCGCCGGAGACTGGGTCGACTTCACCCTTTCAGGGATTTACTGAAAAGGCAGAGGGGTGCGGAGGCGCCCAGCCGCGGCCCCTAAGTCCTCGTCCCCACACGGAGGGGCAAGATCTACGGGATCGGGTGGGGGGACATCAGAAATCCCCGAAACCGGGCCCGCATCCCAAGGGGAAGGCGTCAGGCCCGGGGCACAGCGTGCGCCACGAGCAGGCCGGCCCCCCCCCCCGCCCCCCCCGAGCGCACTGCGGCGCCGAGGAGGCCCCCGGGCGACCCGGCGTCCGCCCAGCCCGGCTGCGGGGGGCTCGTCAGGCCCCCGCTGCAGCCCAGCCCGCGGGGCGCCCGCCAGCAGGGGGCTCCTCCAGGGGCGCCCGCAGAGGCCCCGCGGCAATGCGCCCCGCGGCCACAGGGGGCGCCTCGCAGGCCCCAGCCCGCCCCGTCCGCGCGGCGGCCTCGCTCTCCCTCGCGTGGAGAAACGCCTCGCGGCTCCGCAGAATAAAAACCTGAAGTGAAAAAAGTCGGGAGACGCGTAACCGCGGCCGGCGGCGCCTGGTAGAGACGAGGGGCCGGGGCTGGGCCGGCGCCCGCGGTCACTGACGTCCAGCCGCGGCGCCCCCGGCCCAGGGCCCCCCGGACGGCGCCCCCGGCCCGGCCCGGCCCGGCCCGCCGGCCCCCGCCGGCCCCGCCGACCCCCGCCGGCCCCCGCCGGCCCCCGCCGGCCCCCGCCGACCCCCGCCGGCCCCGCCGACCCCCGCCGGCCCCCGCCGGCCCCCGCCGGCCCCGCCGACCCCCGCCGGCCGCCCGCGAGGGGAGCGCGCCTCGGCGGCGGCGGCGGTGCGGGCAGCTGGGGGCGCCCGCGGGCCCGGCCGGACAGCGACCGACGGGCGCCCGGCGCCAAGCGGGGGGCGGGGCTGCCGCGGCCGGGCCCGGGACGTGGAGCGCGGCCGGCGCGGGGCGGGGGGCGGCCGCGGCTCCGGGCTCGAGGGTCCGCGGCGCTCACGAGGCCGGCGTCGGGCCCGGGGCAGGCGGCGGCTGCGGGCGCGGCGGCTGGGTCTGGGGGCGCGGGGCGCGGGGGCGGGAGGGCGGGTGGGGACGCGGGGGTCCCCGAGTCGGGGTACCCGTGGGCGGGCTCGGCGGCCCGAGGACGGGGCGCGGCGGCGGCAGCGCGCGGCGGGCGGGTTCCCGCGTAGACGAGCAGGTGGGCGGCGGGGCGGGGCGGGGCGGGCTGCGGCGGGGCGGGGCCTCCGGGGCGGGGCGGGGCCGGGCGAGGCCTCGGGGCGGGCGAGGGCGGGGCCGGAGTGGGCGGGGCGGGGCGAGGGCGGGGCGGGGCGGGGCGGGCGCGCGCCGCGCCTGCGGTTCTCCTCTCCGGGCTGCAGGTGGGGCTGTGCGGCCGCGCTGCCTCCAGGAAGCCTCACGGGCCTGCGCCGGCTCCCAGGATGCAGTGTGGACCGGCCGGGTGCTGACGGCGGCGGCGCGTCTGCGGGCGGAGCGGCTCGGGCCGGGCGGCTGGGAGCGCGGCGACGCAGCGGGGCAGGCCAGGCCGGGCCGGCGGGCGGGCGGGCGGCGCCGCCTGTGGAGAGCCGGGGGCGGCCTGCGCGGGGCCGCGCGGCGGCGGCGACTTCCTCCGGCCGGGCCGGACAGCGCAGGGCCATGGCCGAGGCGGCCGCGGCTCCGGTAAGGGCGGCCGCGCGCGCGGACGCGGACTCGGGCCGGGCCCAGCACCCGGCGCCGCGGGCCCTGGGAGGGCGCCGGGGGCCGGCTCGGGCCGCCGGGCCTGGGGCGGGCGGGCGCGGGGGCCGCGGGGCCTACGGCGCACGCCGGCCGGGCCCCCATCCCGGGCCGGGCGGAGCGGGCGGACCCGGCCGGCCCCGCGCCCAGGCCGCCCCGCGCCGAGTTCCTGCAGCCTCCGGGCTTCCTGCCCCCGCCCCATCCGCGGGCCCCCGGTCTCCGCGCCCCTCCCCGCGCCGCCTTTCTCTGCCCCCCGCTCTGCCCGGCGTCCCCGGCCCCCAGCTCCCCCCAGCGGCCTGGTGGCACCTGGGAGGTGTCCGGCTCGGGCTCCGCGGACACCCAGTACCCCGAGTGCCCGGCTGGCTCCGGGTCGGGGCGGAAAGCAGCTGCGCCCGTTTGTGGGAGCAGGCGCGCCCCCAGCCCCGCTCGGGCATTATCTTGGCCTCCCACCAAACCTCCGGGCCGGGTCCTCATTCTCTCTGTCATACAAAAGAAAAACCCGGGGCCTAGAGAAGTTAACTTGGCCGGGATGGCTCGGCTCGGAAGTGTGCGGAAAGGCACAGGCGCTGGTGTTCTCGGGGACACATTGTGTGCCTGGGGAGCAGACAGGTATGCTGGTGGTGAGACTCAGACTGGAGAGGGGAGCCCTGCCTGCGCGGAGCTGGGGAGGGGAGAGTGGAGGGGAAGGCTAGGGAAGGGGCTGCCCCCAGCCTGCCCCCCCACATCTCCCCACCCACCCCTGTGAACAGCCTGCCACCCCTGCAGGGCTGTGATTTGAGCTGGGCTTTCAGGGAGGCTAGGGTTTCATCAGGCTGAGTGACGTGGAGCTTTCCAGGTGAGGAGGACCCTTGGGCAGCAGAGCAGAGACCAGTGCTGGGGCAGGTTCCAGAAAAGAAGGGAATCATGGCTGGAGACGGTGCTTGGGTAGGGAGCCCTGGCGGAGGCCCTGCCCAGAGTTGGAAGAGGTTAGCAGGCCTGGGCCTCACCGTCTGGGTGGGGAGTGGTGGAAGGATCTGGAGTTCTCACAGCATTGGCTCCTCTGGAGCAGGGCTCCCTGTTCCCCTAGGGAGTAAGGCCCCATAGGGCCACCTACCAGTTAGGGGCTGGGGGCACCTCCCCCCAGGGGTGTGAAGGCCCCAGGAGCCACCAGGGCAGTCTTAATCTGCGACCACATGGGCCTTACTGAAGTCAGAGTTCACACAGATGCCCTTTCTCCTGCGGAGACTGACCTGATGGCCGGACTGTGGGAGCTGAGGGGTCCTCGATGGTCGGGAGCTGGGTGCCGGGGGAAGGGACTCTTGTGGGACAGAACCCAGGAGGCTGGGATTCTTGGTAGGGGTGGGCTGGCGAGCAGGCAGGAGAGGAAGGGACGGAGCACCCCCCTCTCAGAGGGGGTCCCTCCCACATCCACCTGTGGCCCTCAACACCCTTCTGCCTAGTCCGTCCCTCCCCAGCCTTGGAGATCAGGGAAAGCCCTTCCTTCACTGGACAGAGGCCACCTGCTCCAGCCACCCTCGGGCCATCATGCAACCTGCCACTCCATCTCTGGACCTGCCTTTGCTGCCTCCACCCAGCTCTCCTTTTGGTCCCCATCCCCATCCTGGTCCCCAGGGCCCTCACATGGCTCCGCCTGCTTCCTGGCCATCGCTTCTTGACTTGGCAGATAGTTACCGCCCGTGTGTTTAGGAATGATTTCCAGGACGGTGTGAGGGGCAGCAGGGAGAAGGTCCCAGTACTCCCCCTGTGGATCCTGGGCCAGGTGTCCATGTGGGTGGGTGGCCAGGAGGTCCAGCCCCCACCCAACGCAAGCTGTGCCCTTTCCTCAGCGGCCAGTCATGCCAGCCACCGTGTGAACTCTGCGTGGACGGGGAAGTTGGCTGGGAGGGCGCCAGGTCTTGATGGCCACTGCAGGCACAAAGGCTGACCTTCCTCGCCTCCCTGTGAGCCCTGGGCGCCACAGAAACATCTGGGACCTGATTCTCCCCCTTGGGGTGGGGGTGGTATATCAAAGTTCAGCCTGACAGACTTGTAATTGTGGTGATTGGGGCTGGGGGAGTGGAGGGGCCAGATCCAATGGTCCTGGGAGAAGAGGAATCAGCCCTTCGGTTTATCTGTATTAAAAAGTGATGAGATGCATTAAAAAGGCTGTTGAGCAACACTCTTCATGCTGCTTTGGTGAAGCAGCTGTTTTTCTGCTCGGTCATCATCTGTGGACAGTTCCCGTGTGGCAATGGGAGGTGCTGGCGGCCTTAGCCCGTCTGCAGTTTACTGTTTTGCCACTGAAATGCCCCAGCAAAGCCTGGTTGCTGTTCCCCAGCCAGAGCGCTGCATGCCTGGCGGGGAGGCTATGAGCCGCTCCCCGGGGCTGGCCGTGGTGGGCGCACGAGCCTGTGGTCTGCGGCTGGGCCTACCTGCGCTCAGGGGCCCACCCACATGCAGGTGCCGGCTGAGAGACCAAAGGGAACTGAGGGCCAGGGACTTGGTCCCACTTTCCACATATTTGCGTCCTGCCCAGCTCTCTCAGGCCCAGGAGAGCTGGACATGGCGGATGGAATGCATGAGGCCACTTCTCTTTTTCTCTGCCAGATTTCCCCGTGGACGATGGCAGCTACGATCCAGGCCATGGAGAGGAAGATCGAATCCCAGGCCGCCCGCCTGCTTTCCCTGGAGGGTCGAACTGGAATGGCGGAGAAGAAGCTGGCCGACTGCGAGAAGACGGCCGTGGAGTTCGGGAACCAGCTGGAGGGCAAGTGGGCCGTGCTGGGGACGCTGCTGCAGGAGTACGGGCTGCTGCAGCGCCGGCTGGAGAACATGGAGAACCTGCTGAGGAACAGGAACTTCTGGATCCTGCGGCTGCCCCCCGGCAGCAAGGGGGAGACCCCCAAGGTAGCTCCGGGGCACGGGGCGGGGGCAGGATGTGGGGGGGATGTGCCTGGCGGTGTGGGGGTGAGCTCGCCTGACGCTTGTGGTTCCAGGTGCCCGTGACCTTTGATGACGTGGCCGTGTATTTCTCTGAGCAGGAGTGGGGCAAGCTGGACGAGTGGCAGAAGGAGCTCTACAAGCACATGATGCGGGGCAACTACGAGACGCTGGTCTCCCTGGGTAAGGCGTGGTGCTCATTTCTCTGTCCAGCGTGAGGTGAGAGCCCTCAAGCCTCTCCGCGCTGGCGGCTTCCAGCATAAGGACCCGGCAGAGCATCGTCCCCTCTCCTGACCAGGGACAGCCCTGGGGGACAAGCTGAAAACGCCCTTCTGCCCCAAGGCTCCTGCACCGTCCGCTGAGGGGTGGCGGCTCCTAACAACTCCCGACAGCCTGGCAGGCCTCCTGTTCTTTTGCTGAGCCGCAGTGGAGAAGCCACCTTGCAGACATGACCCCCCACATTTGAGCCTTCTCCTGCTGAGATGTGGCCTCGACCCCGGCACCCTTCGCGTGAGAAGTTTTCTTCCTTCCTGGAGACTCGGCTTCGGCCAGGCCCTCCTCTGATGTCACCCATGGAGGGGCTGGGCTGTTTGCCCCTGGCCAATTTCCTCTTGAACTGGTTTCTCTGTGACCCCAGGTCCAAAGGCCTTGCGGCCTGCTTAGTGAGGACAAGGGCAGGCCCGGTTTGAGGTCACACCTTAGTTTGCAGAAAGGCACTGCTTCTTAACGTGGACACTCAATGCCTGATTCTTTACCTGAGCTCTTGACATTGGGGGCCAGATGACCCTGTTGTGGCTCTGACCCGTGCATTGTGGGGGGTCCAGGTGCATCACTGTCCACCCACCTACAGCTCCCCATCCAAGCCCACAGTCGCCACCACCAAGACAGTCTCCAGCCTTTACCACGTGACCCCATGGACAAAATTGCCTACAGCTGAGAATCGCTGCTCTATATCAAGCAAGAAATTCTGTTTCTAGTCCATTCTTGGCTTCCCAGGCCGCCTGTCCGCAGTGCTAAGTGGGATGTGGCAAAAGCGAACCTTTCTGTCTTTCCTCAGATTACGCCATCTCCAAGCCCGAGGTCCTCTCCCAGATTGAACAGGGGAAGGAGCCATGCAGCTGGCGCCGTGCCGGCCCCAAGATTCCAGACGTTCCCGTGGACCCGAGTCCAGGTGAGGGGTCGGGAGGTGGCCGGGAGATACCAGGGCGCAGGCGGAGCAGGGAAGGGAAGGGCAACGAGGACCTGACCTCCACCAGGGCATGGAGAGGACCCAAGCCTGGTGTTTGGGGAAAGAGACCGAGCCCGTGACAGACGGGGGGTGCGGGGGAGGGGACATGGATAGGGAGGCCTTGCCTCCACTCAAGAACCAAATCTCATGTAAATCTCTTAGTGGTGGCAGAACATAAGCCCATTGGCCCCCACGTGGCTGTGCCACAGATTTGTTGAGGTGAATCCGGACACCTGATATCACCGTCTCAGGTTTTCCTGGAGTCCGTCCGCGCCTCTGACAGTGCAGGAAAGGACAGGTGGATGCACGGGAAAGCCATGTGACTGACGTGGAGCCCTGTGGGCTTGTGGGGTCACATGGCCCAGGAGACCCCGCCTCAGGCAGGCTCAAGCCTGCTTTGCCCACGAGCTCCAAGTCTGCCCCTCCCTTCCATGCCCAGGTGGGCCCCAACAGCAGATCCCCCCGGTGCCCCTTCCAGATCTGTCCAGCATGCTTCACGCCTCCTCCTCACCCAGACCTGCCACCAGCCCACCCGTCCTTCCCCCAGCCGCCCCGCTTCTCCCTTCACCCCTTGGCAACCAGCAGGACCCCTCAAAGCTCAGTCCCACCATCTTTCGTTCAGAGCCCAGACCATCCGACTCACCCCTGCTGCAGGCCCTCTGCCCGGAGTGGTCTTCAGATCTCCTGGCCTCCGTGCTTGGCCTCCTTTATGGCCCTGGTCACCCCATGGAAACTGCAACTCCCCTCACTCAGAAGTCCTGCCCCAGTGGCGCCCCGCAGGTCTTAGCCTCTGTACATCCGCTGCATGATGGGCGGGCCGGCGCCCCCTCCCTCGGTGCGCAGCTCCCGGTGGTTCCACGGTCGTCCGGCCTGGAACGCTGCCTGCTGCCTGCTGGCTGCGTCCCATGTTTTAAAATAAGGATGTGAATGAAATGATGTATTTCTGGCACAACTTAAATTCCCTTTTAGCTCCCCCAGTCTCCTTTCTAAGGCCGGAAGTTGAGGTGAGCCTTTCCATCCACGTCTTAAAGCTCCTGTTACGTACGGTTAAATGACATGGATGTCACCCTTTACCTCTCGACACTCTGTTACTCAGGTTTATCTCGTGATGCACATAGATCAAATTCATTGACTTTAACGGGTGTTTAATATTCAAAATCAGCACCGTCTCGTGTTCCCCTCCTGCCACGTTGCTCCCACCACGCTCGGCGCTGGCCCTGCTCTCCTGAGGGCCGCTGGCACTCGGTGTCCCTGGAGCTGGGCCCTGCGGTGGAGCCCCTGGGCCACCCTCCACCCTGTTCTCTCCAGGCTGCTCGGGCCCCCTGCCCTCACCGCCAGAGAGGCGGGGCCTGTCTCCCTAACATCCTTGCCCATCCGCCCAGGTGAGGGAGGCCACCGGTCCCTCAGCACCTCCTCGTCACAGGTTTCTTTGACTTCTTCAGTGAACTGTTTTTCTCCTGCATTGTGCGTCGTTCTCTTGTTGGTTGGGGGCTTCTTTCCATAGGCTCTATATGCCAACTCTTTGTTGCCTGCATTACCAGTATCCTCTCCCAGCCTGCGCAGGCCCCGGCACTTCCTTCTCAAGGAAGTTTCTAACTTCTGGCAGAGCTAAACACACCAGCGGCTCTTCCTTAAGATCGCTGCTTCTTCTGTCTTGACATATCCTTCCCCATCACGCTCCAGATCAGAAAGACTTTCTCCTGTAATATGGGTGAAATTCTCCTCCTGTCACAGGACATGTCCAGTCCTAGGGTTAGTATTTGCTGCAAGGGAGAATGAAAACAGTCTCTGCCCAGGTCCTGGGTCTCCACAGGGGTTGCACCTGCTGTCCTCCCTGACGGCGAGGTGGCTGAGGGCACGTGTGGCCCCGGCAGGCTCCGGTTCGCTGCCTGAGACTTGACATCCAGTCCACCGAGCCTGCCCTGCTTGCTCTTCAAAACTTTTCTTGGTTGTTCTTGAACCTTTGTCCTTTTATAAGAATTTCAACCAGGGCCTCCCCGGTGGCGCAGCTGTTTTGAGCGCTGGGTTGCAAAGCTGCCCGCAGCCTCTGCAGCACCGGTTCAATCCCCGGCTGCTCCCCGGCCACCAGAGGAGGGTCCCACATGGCGCGCAGACCTCTCCTGCTGCCCGCTGCTCCCCTCAGCAGTGTACTTCGGTCCTTCTGCCTGTTCTGCTCCCCGCTCTGGCTCTGGTGAATTCTCTCACCCTCCCGCGCTTCTGACTGTACCTAGTGCATGTATAAATAAATAAATAAATTGGAAAAAAAAAAGAATTTCAACCATTGTTATGCCAAGTTCTCGGAAAATCTTACTGAAATTTTGATTGGAGTTTCATTACTGTATCATTTCATTCCTGGAGAATTACCTTCATGGCAATCCTGAGCCTCTTTATTTATTTATTTAATTATTTATTAAAGCCTTCTGTGCCTACGTGAATAAGGTTTGACAACTTTCTCCTGAAATGTGTCGATTCTGTTGTGCGTGGAATTTTTAAATCCATGCCATGTCTTCAATAATTACCACAGGTGTACAGCTATGCGCGCGTAAACAGAAATTATGTCAAGTTTAGAGAAGGCTAGTAAACGCCCATATTCCCCACACCCAGCACAACCTCCTTCCAAGATCGCACTGTCCCCCCGCCCCACACTCTCCCCTCATTTCAGAGATGAACATTCAGAGCCGATGGGTCGGCCGCCGCTTTCTCTCCTCTGTGGGCACACTCCTGTTAGCATTGTTAAGTTTTACCTGTTTGAACTTTTTTATAAGACTGTACCATGTGTTCTTCTAGAACTTGCTTTTTTATTTGACATTGCTTTTGAGAGCCATCGATGTCAACAGCATGCAGCGCTTCTCCCTCCCTCATAGTTGCCATGTTCTGGACACACCGGGCATTCCCTCTGCTGCGGTGGCGGGGAGTGTTTCCAACGTTTTGCTTTTAGGATCAGTGCAGTCGTGAAAACACTATGCATGTGTAATCTACCCACTAGCTGTGCACCCAGGGTCCGGGAAGCTGTGTTCACAGTGGGCACAGCTGCTCCCAGCAGCAGTGCCTGGGACGCGCCCCCCCTCCCCCCCGCACCCCTCCACACACACACACACCCCCATCCCCAATCCTCACCAGCCATGGAAATGCCTCACGTTCCTGTTTCTGCCCATAAGTGCCTCATCAGTGCCCACAAGCACAGGGCACCCACTGTACGGGGCCTGGACTTGTGTTCCTTCTGCTAGTCCTTTCGGGGCTACTCGGCCCTTTTACTCCACTGAGTCAGTTCTTTGTGAAAACCCAAGTCCCTCCACCCAAGCATGTCTGTAACCTCAGGGAGGTTTTATGACTTTCTCCCCTAAAGGTCCTGTACATCCTTCTTGCTCAGGTACAGTCCCAAGTCCCCTTGTCAGGGGCCTTGCCTCAGCCTTCACTTTCTGTCTGTCACTGCTGTGTGCAGTGCAGGGGTGCTGTGTGCAGTGCAGGAGGTCGGGGGTGCAGGAGCACCCAGTGCCTTCCCCTTGCAGCAAGGCGCAGTTACGGGACCTCCCGTGCCCCACCCACCCTGCATGGCAGGGTGCCGCCAGGGGCAGGTCTCACGGGAGGTTTGGGATCAGGGATTGACCAAAACAAGCCCTTGCTCATCCTCTTCCCTGGACGCTGCCCCTTCAGGGCTCCTGGCCTGGGCCGTGGGTGACTCCTGGGCCGGGGTCAGCACTCACAGAAAGCGGCATCCTCCATCATCGTCATAAAGCCCGCGCTTCATCTGCTTCCCTCTCGTTCTATGTCTTCAGATCCTTGACGGGGAAGAAAAATGGCAATTGATGGGCTCCCTGAAGGATGTGGAAATTCAGTGTCTGTCACTACATGATACTTCTATCTGGGAACCCTGTTAAAATCCTCATTAATGCTAATTCCTTTTCTGATATCAGCTGAGTCGTCTCAGGTCTTCTGGAGAGATAATCATATCCTCTATGAGTAATAAGACTTGTTTCGTTTCTTTCCAAATCCATACGGTTTGTTTTTCTTTGGTTTTATTGTGCTGGCTGAAGATCCTGAAGTCCTGGGGTCTGTGATTTTCAAGCGAATGCCCTTTAAACACGGGCTGTAATAATAAAAGAAGGTTTTGTTCATCAGTGCCCTTTCTCAAGGTAAAGAAGTTTTCTTTATTTCTGGTTAACTAGGCATTTCCAACAGGAATAACATGAATTTTTATAGAATGCATTTTTTAAAGGATTATATGAATTTTCTCCTTGAACCTGCTAATGTGGCAGGTTAAACCCTAATGTCAAACCAGACTTGGTGCTTTCAGAATAAACCTAATGTCGTCGTGGTCCTTTTTATACACTGTTGACTTCAGTACTACGTTGTTTAGGATTTTTGAGTCCGGCCTATAATTTTCCTTTCTCAGACTACGATTGTCCGGTTTTATTATTAAAGATAGAAGCTGTGCTGTATTCCTTCCTGTTTTTATATGCCCAGCAAAGCTGTAACACTAGAATTATCTACCTCTTGAATGTTTCGTCAGAAACGCCAGCAAGGCCCATCTGAGCCTCAAGCTTCCTCTGTGGGGGAGACGTTTGTTTGCTGATTCAAGTTCTTAAACAGTTACAGGACTATCCAGGCTTTCTAGTCCTTCTTTAGTCATGTTTGGCAAATTATAATTTTTCTAAGGAATTTTCCCATCTCCCCAGAATGTCCAAATTACATGGGATGAGGGACGTCCTTCTTGGCAGGCCCCTCCCTGCCACCTCTGTGATCGCCCCTTTTTTCCTTTTACGCTGGTTTTGCTGCTTTCTCCATTTCTCTTGATCATCTTGCTAAAGCTCTACTCATTTAATTCTCTTCAACGAACCTACTTTCCGCTCTCTGTAGTCTGTCTTTGTTTGGTCTTTTATTAATTTACATTCACACTATTTCCTTTCTTCTACTTTTTTTTTTTTTTTAAAGATTTATTTATGTGTACAAGAGCTGGAGTACAGGCCAGCGGTGTGGGGAGTGAGAGGATTCACCACAGACAGAGTGGAGAACAGAAAAGGCAGACTGACCAAAGTATGCTGCTGTGGAGAGTAACAGGCGAGACAGGAGGGGTCTGCTGTGCCATGTGGGTAGCTCCCTGGCCGGGGATCAAACTTGTGCTGCAGAGGCTGCAGACAGCTTCATGGGTTGCTTTTTAACCCCTTGAGCCACCAGGGAGACCCTCTTTTCTTCAACTTTTTATGAGCTTTTTGGGTGCTGGTATTTCTAACACCTTGCACTGGCAGCTTAACACCCCACCCACTGGCGGCCAGTCCCCTGCTTGGTGCAAGCCAGGCCACGCCTGTCCTCTGCCAGCACAGACGCAGCCCTATCGTGGTAAACATTTGCATGGACATTGGGTTCCAGATGTCCTCTCATTTGCATTGTGATTTGTCCCCGAGATCCTTTGATTACTTAGAAGCAAATACATATCTTTAAAATTTTAGCGCACATGGAGGCTCTGGGGATACCTGTTACTTCTAACCTCATAGCATTACAGTTAGAAAATGGGTGACTGAAACACTAAAATTGACTGAAGTTTGTATTGTGGCTCAGAAAGTTCCTTTTCCCTCAGGTGCTCTGTCGCATGAGAAGTTTGTGTTCTTGTCTCTAGCTTCGACTTCTGTCCACTTGGCCACGTCTGTCGTGTGGATGCCCTGTAGGCTCCGTCTAGGAGATCCTCATCAGGGGAAGAGGTCTGTGAAATCCCTGCCAGGAAGGCGGGTCTGTCGCGAGCTCTGTCAGTTTTGCTTAATCATTTTGAATCTCTTGTTGGATTAAAATTTCAGACTTGATTTTATCTTCCCGGTCAATTCACCATTACACGGTGGTCACTGCTCTTGGGTATCTTTGCTTTTCAAGGTCTGTTCCATCTGACAGGGTGTAAAAACCTCTTAAGACACCAATTCACTCGGGCTCGGTGTGTCTCTTACTCTTTCGCCTGCTTTGCATCCTTCCGTTCTAGGCGTGTCCCCTGTCACCGCTCAGCGCCGGCTCTCTTGTTTGTCTTCGCCTGATCATCTTACCAGTCAAACGTCCGGTGAGCCACAAGCCACGTATGCACTTGAAAAGTGCTGTGTAGGGATACAGTAGGGCCCAGACTTCAAAAACGGTACAGAAAAAGAGAGGTAGATGAAAGAGACAGGTACGAAAAATATATAAACTATCTTCCTAATTGTAATATCGATTATTCGCTGAACATTTTAGCGATATCAACCTAACTAAAAATTATTGTTACAGTTAGTTTCTTCTTGCCTGTTTAATGCAGCTACTAGAAAACCTAAAATTAAAGAGGTGGTATTTCTGGTGGACGGCACTGGTGTGGACACCCGCCCCGCTGTGGTCCCGTTTCTGCAGCACCTCTTAGATTATGCCTGAGCCCTTAGGGCTTTCCTGGATTTGGTTCCTCTCTCCCTTTCAGGATTATTCACTTCGTTTTTTTTCTACCTCAGACTATGGTTATTTGGAATCACTTTGGGAGTGATACATTCTGTTCTATTCCTGTGACCTTGGGAGTTGTCTTCTTCTGAAATGCATCCTTGAGAAGTGGTTGTGGGTCTATTGGTAATGAACTGTCCGCCTGTGTGCGTGTAAGGGGGGCTGCCTGTGTCTGAGAAAGTCTTTATTCGAAGGTCATATTGAAAGGTAGTCATCTTAGCCCCATAATTTGCTCTGCTGAGGAAGCAGCTCCAGTCCAGCCGCTGCGCCTCGGTGGCCTCTGTCCTCGGGAGTGTCCAGCGTTGCAGTCCGCCTAGAGGTGGGTCTCTTCTCTCTCCTGCTTGCCGTCGGTGCTCTTCGGCAGTTCAGAGAATCTTGCATCCTGAGCTCTTTGATACACCTTGACACCCCCACCCCCACCCCCCGCCTCCATCTTTCTGGAACCCTGTCCTGTTAGCCTCCACCACTTGGGACACCTCCCCAGAGTTTCAGCTCCGGCTTGCGTGAGTTGTGAATGATTTCTTCTGCTCTGACCTCTTGTTAGTTCGCCTTTCTCTACTCAGTTGCTTCTGTTGTTTCACCTAGAGGTAGGATTTTAATTTTTCCATTATTTCGTTTTGCGACTCTAAAGTTACCTTTCATTCTTTTTCAGAATCTGATTGGTCAGGTTTGACAGTTTCATAGTGAGCATGTTCTCTCCCAGCCCCCTTCTTATTTCTTGAAATATAGTATTAGATTTTCTGGGTTTGAAAATCGCAGTATCAACAGTCCCTACAGGTGACATTCTGAGTATGACTGTGGCTCCTGGCGACTGAGTGGCCGGCTGGCTTGCTCGTTGAGATGATGACCTGTCGTGTGAGCTCATGCACACCTGGAAGCTGTCACAGGGCCAGCGCCCTGAGGACCTGTGCTGGCCTCTGCTGGTCACCAGCGCCACTACAGCCTTGGCCTGGAGGTGTTCAGAGTTACACTGGGACCAGCCTGTGTTGACCCCTGGGGGAGAGTGTTCTCCCACCCCGGTCCTCCCTCTGCTCCCCCCCACCAAGCCTTGAGCCATCATCACACAGGGCAGACTCCTTCGGGCAGATTTTTACTTTTCAGTTTAGTCCCCTGGGAGTGTGTCCTTTGGGGTCCCAGGTGTGTGTATGTGGTGGGGGAGGGGGCGGGGGGGGGGTGGTCGCCAGGTGCCCATGATGTACCTTGGTTGATGTAGACTTTTTTCTCAGTTCTGGCCTCTGTTTGTTTTCCTTCCTTTATTTCTGGGTCACCCTTGCTTAAAAATTGTTTATAATTTTTACACTCTGCCTGGCATGTTTAGCTGTTCTATACCGGGAGGGCTTTCTCTGTGCATCGAGCCAGCTGTGTGCCAGAAATAGAGGCGCTGATGGCTGTGCCTGCGTCTGCGGAGATGGTGACACTATTTCTCCATAATCTGGTGGTGAATGAACTTATTATATTTTCTGGGGTTCACGGGTCCTTGAGTTCTCAGGGTTAAGCCAATTTGTCTATAACATGGCTGTTCATTTTGTAATCCTTTCATTTAGAAGTTTTGCATGTGTGTTCATAAACGGGACTCCTTTACCAAGGTCTTCATGGGCTGCTCTCCAGTCTGCGGGACCAGAATTGGACGGGCCTCGTCGCCGCGAGTTCCCGGCCACGGCCTCAGCATTTGGCGGCCGCGCTCTTGTCCTCCTCTCGGTCTTGCTGATGCTTGTCTCTGGGGCAGGGAGGTGCCTCTTCACTCCTCGGCCTCTTGGAGGGTTTTCCCTTGGTCTCCTGCTGGTCCACATCCCCGGACGCAGCCGAGGCGTGTTTCTCCATCATTCCCCACTTAGGAATTGGGTGCTCTCAGCCTCTGGGCTCAGAATGTCTTCAGCGCTCCGGAGGAGATTCTCAGCCATTCTTTCTCTGCCTGTTCCTGCTTATCGACTTCTCCACCCTCTGCCCAGGATTTCTACCAGCATGTGTTGGGACTTTACAGCATATCCCTCACGTCTGAACTTCTCTCCCATTTCTTCCTCTCGGTGCGGCTGGCTCATTTCCCCAGGGCCATTCTCCAAGTCACTGATTTTCTCTTAAGCTGCATTCAGTCTGCTGCTAAGCCAGCCACGGAGTCTTTCCTTTTCGTAACTGCTTTGGTCGTTTCTAGAGTGTCTGCCTTTTAAAAATAATGTCCCGTTCTTGCCCTGACCCTCTATTGCTTTGACTATTTTAGACACGCTTGTGTTCTCTAATCCTTAGCATCTTTTCCCTGTGATTCTCCCTGCATTTTTTGTTTTGTTTTGTTTTTAAAGATTTATTTATTTATTTATTTATTTATGCAAGCACTGGGTACAGTCAGAAGCACGGGAGGGTGAGAGAATTCACCAGAGCCAGAGCAGGGAGCAGAGCAGGGAGAAGGACCGAAGTACACTGCTGAGGGGAGCAGTGGGCGGCAGGAGAGGTCTGCGCGCCATGCAGGACCCTCCTCCTGTGGCCGGGGAGCAGCCGGGGATCGAACCAGCGCTGCAGAGGCTATGGGCAGCTTCGAACCCAGCGCTCAACCGCTGCGCCACTGGAGAGGCCCTGATTCTCCCTGCATTCTGCCTTGACTTTCATATGATTTGGCTCCTCTTCTGCTTTGTAAATTTAGTTTTCCAGTAGGGCCCTATGGATGCACTGTGGGATGCCTGCTGGGTCCCCATGCTGGGACTATGCCAGGCTCTTGGCCAATTTGTCTGCAGATTTCTCAGTTTAGTGTGGTGGTGTTCACCACTGTGTGGCTGCGGTTTCCCACCGGTGGCACTCCCAGCAGAGCAGTGCACAGCGGGCAGCTTCCTCGTAGCTCCTGGGTAGATACAGTGTGCCTGGCCCCACTTCATGGGCCTGGCAAGGCCTGCCGGTCCCTGGCCTCCCACAGGCAGCTCAGTCCCACTGCTGGCGGCCATTCGAGACCCTGATCCTTGTCCCCAGCTGAGTTCTTGATTTGACTTTGCGTTTTCTTTTTGATTTTTACATCTGGGATCTTTGCACTCACTTAAATACATGTGTGGGGGAGGGTTTGGGGGAACATCTGATGTTAAATTGACCTAGCATTTCTGCGTAAGACAAGGACAGGGCATCCCTGGGGCAGCGCAGACTTCCCATGAGTAAAGCCTGGCCCGGTATAGTACATTCCTCACTCCCGCCTGCAGGGAACCCAGTACCATGTGCGCCTTGCCGGAAGGCCCCGTGGGCCCTAGGTGCTCCTGCCTTCCCACCCACCAGGATCTTTTGCTACTTGACCCTCAGGCCTCCTGTCCATTTCTCGACTCCATGCGCCTCCACCCCAGGCCGGGTCCTGCTGCGGTCTGCTCACACGCTCTCCCTTTCTTAGGCTCAGGGGCCCCGGTTCCTGCCCCTGACCTCTTAATGCAGATCAAGCAGGAGGGCGAGCTCCAGCTCCAGGAGCAGCAGGCACTGGGAGTCGAGGCTTGGGCAGCCGGCCAGCCGGACATCGGGGAGGAGCCGTGGGGTCTCAGCCAGCTGGACTCTGGAGCAGGCGAGGTCTCTACAGACACTGCCTCTGGTGAGTGCCTGAGATGGGGGACCAGGCAGAGGGGGTAGTCGCAGGGACTAAAAGCAGGGCATTGAAGAAGGTGCTCCCGAAGCAATGGGGTGGCGTGGGGGCTCACAGGCCTCTGGCCTGACTAGAAGTTTCTCCAGCTGAGGCAGGGCTGCACCAAATGACATCTCGCAGGCCCCGAGTTTTGTTCAGTGCCACCCTCATCCTGGTATTTCTGTGCCTCACTTTCTGGCCTCACCTGTTCTTGCCCCCACATTGGGCATTTTGGTCACAGTTGCCACCTCGTGGAGAGGACCGTATGAGCAAGTTGTGACCTTTGAGCCCCCTAGCACCTTGGAGAAGGGGCAACAGTACATGGGGTTCAGGAGAGAGGTGGGGGGGTCTGTGTTCATTAAGGAAGCCAGGAGGGGCTTCGGGGTTCCTCCCCTTCCCACTACCTAGTTCTCATCTCTCTGCACCACAGGTGTCCCCTCCAACTTTTCAACCACCATCGCACCTGCTTCCTGGCAGGCAGGTCTCCCTCCCCATCACCCTTCTTCGGCATGCTCGGATGGCACCCTAAAGCTCAGCACAGCAGCAGCCTCCACAGAAGGTACGGGGGGGGGGGGAGGCCTGGCCCTGCAGCCCAGAGGCCTTTAGGTGTCTGCCGGTCCTTTATCTCCTTCCAAGTTCTAATACCCAAAGGCCATGTTCACAGTAGCTCTGGTGGGGAGCGAGCTGTCCATTTGATCAGCTGACCCTGAGAGGCTGCACCTCCTGCCCAGACCCAAGCCACCCTGGCTCCTGGCTGGCACAGAGAAGATAGCCACTTCTGCGACTCAGTGCTGCCAAGAGGGCTGCTCCAGGCTAGAACTGGGAGAAGAGCCGCCCATTTCTGTGTTCTCTTTCGCCTTCTGTTCTGAAGGCCAGCAAATCACTCCGGTAGTCATTTCTGCCCTGTTCAGCGCCCCAGCCTCTGCACCAAAAGCCTTGATCCCTGATGTCAAACTTCAGGATGTAAAATTCAAGGACATTTACATAAAATCAGACATGCCTTTACTAGCTCACTAATATTTTTATCAGTAGCAAGCTGACCCCATTTCTTGGAAGCTTGCTGCATGCCAAGGAGCCTGCTGCGTGCTGTTATGGACTTAATACTCACCCAGCCCCACGAAACAGTGTATCACTGATGAGTGTGAGTGAGAAAATTCACCCAAATCCACCACAGCTCTGTGCAGAGCCCCAGAACACCCTTAGAGCCACACACACTGGTCTCTGGGCTTGTGCCCATGGGTATGCTCCCTGAGTCACCCGCCCTCAGGTGAAGCCTCCACCAGCCTCCACAGCCCTGGTGAAAGCTGAAGTGGGTGCTGGCTTTACCTTTATCTGTAACAGGGTGCTCCCACATGGTTTGAGACAGTCTGTGCCCTGACCACCTGGGGGTGAGGGAAGGTGCGTCCCTGTCTGTGAGCCCCAGGCTTGGAGCTGCTAAGCGCTGGTCTTAGCTCTGGGCTGTAGGGGCGCAGGATGAGACTAGTCTCTGTCTTTTTCAGCAGATGTAAAAATTGTGATCAAAACAGAAGTCCAAGAAGAAGAGGTAGTGGCCACGCCCGTGCACCCTACTGACCTAGAGGCCCACGGGACTCTGTTCGGACCAGGCCAAGCCACGAGGTTTTTCCCCAGTCCTGTCCAGGAGGGCGCCTGGGAAAGCCAGGGCAGCTCCTTCCCCAGCCAGGACCCGGTGCTGGGGCTGCGGGAGCCCGCGCGGCCTGAGAGGGACATGGGTGAGCTCAGCCCCGCGGTGGCCCAGGACGAGACCCCTCCCGGGGACTGGCTCTTTGGGGGCGTCCGGTGGGGCTGGAATTTCAGGTGCAAACCTCCAGTGGGCCTGAACCCCAGGACTGGGCCCGAGGCGCTGCCCTACTCGTCCTCTGACGGCGGGGAGGCCGTGCTGGACCCCAGCCAGGCGGCCCGGCCCTTCCAGGACCCCTGCAAATACCCCAGCCGGACCAAAGGCTTCGGCCACAAGCCCGGCCTGAAGAAGCACCCGGCGGCACCGCCCGGCGGCCGGCCCTTCACCTGCGCCACGTGCGGGAAGAGCTTCCAGCTGCAGGTCAGCCTGAGCGCGCACCAGCGCAGCTGCGGGCAGCCCGACGGCGCGGCGGGGGCGGCGGGGGGCGGCGCGCGGGACGGCAGCGCCCTGCGCTGCGGGGAGTGCGGCCGCTGCTTCACGCGGCCTGCGCACCTCATCCGCCACCGCATGCTGCACACGGGCGAGCGGCCCTTCCCCTGCACCGAGTGCGAGAAGCGCTTCACCGAGCGCTCCAAGCTCATCGACCACTACCGCACGCACACCGGGGTGCGGCCCTTCACCTGCACGGTCTGCGGCAAGAGCTTCATCCGCAAGGACCACCTGCGCAAGCACCAGCGCAACCACGCGGCGGGCGCCAAGGGCCCGGGCCGCGGCCAGCCCCTCCCGCCGCTGCCGCCCGGGCCCCCCGACCCCTTCAAGGGCCCGGCCGCCAAAGGACCCCTGGCCGCCACAGACCTGGTGACCGACTGGACTTGCGGCCTGGGCGTCCTGGGCCCCACCGACGGCGGGGACCTGTGAGGCCGCCCCGCCCGGCCAGGGGCCCCGCCCGGCCACCCCCGGGCCGCCGGTGTACAAAGTCCCACGTGCAGCGCCAGGGTGGGGCCGGGCCGAGGCGGGGCCGGGAGGCCCGTCCTGAAACTCATCACTGGAAAACACCCGCCTCCGCACGAAGTAGAGCTGATGCGAAGCTGAGCGCCCCAGAATTTTAAGTAATTTAATTACAAAACACTTTTTTCTTTTCCAATTCTTGAAGACAAAGCTGGAAAATAGTCGTAGCCCCAGTTTAAACTTCATAGCGGACTTTTGGCTGCCGGAGCGCGAGTCCGTGCGGGCTGTGTCCTTGTGGAGTGGCCAACAGTGTGCTAGAGGCCCGCGGGGGGGACCCCCGCCCTGGCCCCCAAGGCTGGGCTGATCCCCCACACAGTTCTGGATGTCGAGACACCCCCACCCCCACCAGGGCACCCCCAAGTACAGCCAGCGGGGCCTAAGGAACCCCAGGCTCAAGTAACAGAGAGAAAGGTTTGTCCAGGAGGGCCAGTCACCACCAGCTCGCCTCCATCTGAAAAGGCCCCGCCGCGCTTCCCTGGGACCGGCCGTCCGCCCTGGCGGAAGAAGCTGCTGCCGACGGGCCGCCCTCTGAACACGCGCAGCGGGGAGGAGGCACCTCCCATTAGGTACCGCAGAGCCGGGAACCCAGCCCCCCACCCCCCTACACCCCCACCCCACCCCCAGTCCAGCGAGATGCGCCCCCTCTCTGTGCAGTGTTTTCTCTGTCCAGACGCCCGTGTGGCCCCTCCTTGGGTCACGCGGCGGCCTTGCGGGAGCGCGGGACGCGTGTGCGCTCCTGGCAGGACGGCGCTTCCTCTAGGGGCGCGTCTCAGTCTGGGGGAGCCAGTTTTGGTGGTTGTCCCCATAACTGAGTGGCCCACATGGGCCCCCGGCCGGGCCCCGCCGCCGGGCCGCAGCCTTCCTCCGGAGTGGGTCGGCGCCCCACGCGGGCTGACGGCCGGGCTCACGGACGACATTGGCCTCGGGGCCTGGTTCCTTGACTCTGCCACACACTATCCGCTCGCGTTCTGCTGAAGCAGCCCCGCTTCCCGCACCGCAGAGGTGACCGTTACCCCGCGGAGGGGAGGCCCTGGCTGCGTGCGCGCCCCGCCCCCTCGCGCATACTTTTATTAGGCAATAGACTAGTTAAGATTGTTTCTATGTACTGTATATTTTGTACCTGTTTACACTTCTAATATTGATATAACTGATATTTTGAAAAACAAGCGCAGAAGAGACGTCCTGTTAAAATAAAACCTAACCAGCACCCTGGCGGCTTGGAGGGCTCCGTTCTTAGACCCGCATCTGGGCCGCTGACGCCACCCCGCGCCCCCCAAGGGAGCTGTGAGGTTGGCGACCTCGACCCAGGGAGGCCACAGCCCAAGAGCCGGGAATGAAGGATCCAGAGAAGCCTGTGGAGATAGACGGGTGTTCAGAGGGAAAATTAAAGCACCTAGTCTCTGCCTCAGCATCTAGTCACGGTTCATTTGATTTTAGTCTACATAGGAGGTGACTGCTGTATGTGGGGGCAGGAAAGTCTGGGAGGAAAATGCAGCCCATCAAAGAAACAGGCGCTGGAGGTGTGCCTGCACCTTTCCTGGCTGCCCAGAGGCCAAGGAGGATGCCCCAGGCCTGCATTTGCCACCCTGGTCTTGGAGAGAGCCCATCCCCCCTCTGGGGCCAGGCAGACGCCCATACTCCCACCAACCGTAATTGACAACTTTCCTGTCTTCCATGGTTTTCATTTTAAGCATTGTCTTAAGAAAATATAAAACAGAATCTGCTTTAATTTGCCACAGAGGGTGTGGGAGTGGGATCCCAGCCAGGCTGGCCGTGGCCGTGGCTTCTCATTTCCTGTGAGGACAAGATGGACTGACTGTGCCTTGACCGTCTCAACAGCATCAAGGTCTCTGGAGGCCGCGCCAGCCACCTCTATTGCCCGCCACACCTCTGTCCTCGGGGACACCTCCGGGTTCCCATCACCTGCCTCTCCTTCAGCTCTCACCGCTCTCAGCGCCTCTTGCCCACCTCCCTACTGGACAAGTCTGCCGCCAGAGATGTTCTGTCCGCGTGCCTCATGCCGCCTCTCCTCCACACCTTTCCCGATCCCTGTGTTCCACACTTGCTAGCCCCACACGCTGCCTGCAGGAACCGTGCACTTCAGCCATGGCCACTAAGTGGGTGACTCCTAAGGTCTGGGTTCAGGGGTGCTCAGAGACCGAGAACATGGGGAGGAAGCAGGGGCACTGAGGTCATTTTCAGAGGTCCAGAAGGGGGTTCCAGTCGGGGAGGCCAGAAAAGCACCGTGGGGGGCCAAGGTGCACAGTCCCTTCTGTGACGGCACCACAAGCTTCGTGGCTTAAACCAGCAAAAATCCCCGTGTGGTACACAAGTCCACACAAGTCCAAACCTAAGTTCAGGATGTCAGCAGGTTCGAGTGCCTCCGGACACTGCAGAGGAATATCTGTTTCCTCACCTGTTGCAACTTCTCAAGGTCGTCTGCATCCCTGGGTTCTGGTCCTGTCCCCTTCAAAGGGAATCTCTCCAGCCGCTTACTTCTAGCCTCATCTCTGGCTTGGATCCTCTTGCCTGCACCTCGTAAAGCATTTGCAATTATATCGGCCCCACCCAGACAGTCCAAAATAATCTCCCCGTCAGGAGATCTTAATCACATCTTGCCAAGTCCCTTGGGCACTGTCACAGGTTCTAGGGATTAGGATATGGACATCATGGGGAGGGGGCGCTTATTCATCTTACCACACTTCGTAAATCTCAGGACAACTCTCATCACCTCTCTGAAGCTAGGCCAAATCCCCTCAATTCGAGCGCTGGTGCTCGAATCTATTGTAGTACCGAGATAACTTGAGCTTCATCATTCTCGACCATACTTTCATCTGGCCTCCCCCGTGCACATCCCAAGTGCCATCTGCTGGGCTCCTTGATACCTTTCTTTACCTTCATCTTTTTAGCACTTTGTTCTCTTATTCCTGATGCTTCCAAAGATGGCCTCCAGCCCTTCTGATACTTCCCATCGCTAAGGAGCAATGTTCCATCATGTTCATGATCATGGCAGACTGGGGGAAAGATGGGCCAACTGTGCTTGTACCATCAACAACAGCATCAAGGTCTTCAAAGACTGAGCTGGGCATTTGTTACCCCTTTACGCTTCCATCCTTGGGGAAACTCCTCTGGGGTTCCTGTCACCTTCTGCCTCTCCTTTTCCCTGTCATGTGTCATGTCCACACCACTGGAGGCTTGCCAGGTCCCACACCTCCCCAGACCATGCCCCCCTCATCCCTCACACTGACTCCTTTCTAACAAGTCTGCCTTCTCCCACCCTGGTTTAAAACCCTCCACTCACTCCCCATCATCTGGCTAATATCCAAACTTAACATGGCATAGGTAACACCTATGAGGTGGCTCCTTCATCCTTGTCTTCTGCACTCCTCGGATCTCACTGTTTATATGAACAGAACAACCTGCACTTCCCTGAACATCGTACTGTTCCATGTCTCCACATGCTGTTCCCACTGCATACACTCTCCCCATTCCCTCGCCAGGTCCACCTGGTCCACTCCTGCTTACCCTCAGGACTTGGCTCAGTGCCACCCAACCTTCTGTGATCTCTGCAGGTGGAACGGATGCCTCCCCATTCCTCCATGGGCCCTTGCTCAGACACCATCTGTCATCTCACCAGACCCCCGTACTCCGTGAATGTGTATGAAGATGAGACATTAGACTTCCAAGTCACAGGGAGCCTTGATTCCCTGACAGCTATAAAACCACTTCCTGGTTTGGCGTAACTGTCAAGTTTCTTTTAACACTGGGTGTTATACAATTTATATGTGACTTTTTAAAAACATTAAAAGCAAAATTTAGACATTAAACATGCCCTTCAATAATTTCTGTTTTTTAAAAAAAAAAACTTGGTCAAAAAGTAATAGATACAAATACTGTGGAGCCAATGACCTGAACACACTCCTGATATAAGCATCTGAAATTCTACATGGACTGTAATAAACATGATTTTAAGTCTAGAGCCATGCTAGAAACGCAGTGGAGTCCTCATGTGCCAGGCATGAGACCATGAACCCCATGTTGTCGGCATGTGAGTAGCTGTTGCACCCACAGGGTGGGAAGGAGAAGGGCATATGGAAATCAGGCTGTGAAGGTAAGAAATTGGAACTGATGCCTCCAGGTAAAACCTGTTGGCGGTCTTATCTTCAGGAAATACATGGTTCAGGAAAAAATTCACCCCAGCCCCAAAAGATGAGGTGTTATCTGGGTCCCCTGGGAAGCAGATGCTTGAAGTACAAGAAGTTTATTGGGGCATAATGCCTATCAAAGCTAAAAGGAAGAAGAGGCAGGATTTTGCAGGCAAAGTCAGACCAGGACCAGATCAGCCTGTAAAAGAGGAGAGGAAGGGCCTCCCCTGGTGGCTCAGCGGTTGAGCGCTGGGCTGCGAGGCTGCCCACAGCCTCTGCAGCGCAGGTTCGTTCCCTGGCCGCCGGGGAGGGTCCCACTAAAAAAAAAAAAAAGAGAGGAAGCAGGTTCAGGCAGCAGGAACAGAGGACGCTGGGGCTATGAGAGTTTTAGCAGGGGCTCTAGACCAGGCATGACAGCCTCTACCCACTCTGACTTGCAAGGGCTTCCCAAGAAAAGCATGACTTCAGTTTGAAAGCTAAGGCATTTCCTGGAGATTCTACTACCTGGAGCTGTCAGTTAACTGCTCTGCTGGCAGCTGAATGGTGAGTTCTTGAATAGAGAACCTACTCCGCCTAACTCCATGGCAGCTACAAATGGCAAAAGGTTTATCTGCCTCAGGCTGGGCTCTGGGTAATGGTAGTGATGGGGTAATATATGTTCCTTGGCGAATCCAAAACCACAGCTACTATCTTGTGGAGGTAGGGATTCAAATTTACATTACCCACAGGGCTGATAAATTGACATGAAAATTGGACTCAGGCTAA